GGCTGGATGGCCATCTGTCGGGGGTGCTTTGATTGTGGGTTCCTGCATAGCAGGCGGTTGGACTGGATGGCCCTTGGGGTCTCGTCCAACTCTATGATTTTAACCTCCTCTGAACAAATCTCACCAAGAAAATCCCATTATAGTTGCCATAAGTTGGAAATGACTTGAAGGCACACAGCAGCAACAAGTCTTTCCTACACTGGCACCCTTTCCAGATGTGCTGAACTATAGCTCCCATAATTCTACTATCAATACATCTCGGTTTGGAGAAGGCTGCCTTCATATTTCCTAAATCCATTTTACAGTGATACTTCTATTAGCCCAGCCCTGGGGCACAAAATACATTACACTAGCTTTCAAAGTTCATGGGCTTCTTCATCAGGCAAGGATTGTAAAAGAGGCACGCAGGGCAAGGAATGGTGGTGATATGGTCAATGTGTCTACATCCCATGCCCTAGTTTTTCAGGGAATAAACCCCAAGACTTAAGAACGGTCCCAATATGGCAGAGACAGTTCTGTTTTACTCTCTGTAATTCTACTCCCCCCCAACTGCTTTTAAAATGTCCCAGTTCATTTCTCCTCTTTTAACCTTCAACCACCTTGTTCTCAGTTTATTTCCATTGCTGCAAAGTCAGTTTAAAGTACAAAAGTAGTTTGCATTAAATTAACTCATTGGGGAAGAGGAGGCAGGAGAATCTTGCACTTCCCAGTAGGTACAAGCCAAAGCAAACTGCTGCATGTTCTCTTAGCTTGTGTGTTTATCCATATTAATATTTTTTGCTACCCAGATGACACTCTGAGATTGTGTAGCCACACATGTTTTGGTTTTCATTTGTGACATTTTGGAGGGTGTGGTGTGGAGGGAACACAGGTTCTCACTGTATCTGGATAATTAGGATATCTGAATAGGAAGAGATTGAGATAAAAGTAGTCCTGGTATGCTCCATCTGTACCCCATTCTTTATTTGGTCACTTATGCAACATAAACTTTATGAGGAAGGAAGACACCTGTCCTGATCCTCTCAAGCAAGCATTCATTAATAATAGTTCATTCTGCAAGCTTTGGATAGTTAGATTAAGCAACTAAAGCTTTACTTCATTAGTCACAGCAGTCAATTTTAATCAAAAGTGACGCAATCTGCCATGCTGTCTTCACCTGTTACCTTATTCTTTTTTCTTTCGATTCTCCTTATTTCTCCTTAGTACAATAACATCCAAAACCCATAAAACAGTGATACCCTGATTGGGCCAACCAAAATGCACAAAATACATGATGCAAGCTTTTACAGCTCCACTGGTTTCTTCGTTAGGGAAAGGTTTAAAAAATCATATGGGGGGGGGATTAAGATGATGTTAGTCACAAGCCTGCATTTTCTCAAGATGTTGCTGTTCTCAGCTCAGGTGTTGTTGGAGGACATATTCCTTCAGTAAATATTTTTCTCCATTATGTCTTAGTTGGATGGCTACCTTGTTCAGAATCAGAATCATTAGATGCGGCAGGGTTTTAAAAATGCAGAAACAGATCCAAAATATACATGTGGAGGCAAGGGATGTGAGGGGAAAGATGCTGCTTCACAAGAATGTTCAGTTCAAAAATTCAAGGCATGTAAATATTTAGATGTGTCAGCTGATAAATGTTTTTTAAGTGCCTGATAGCAATGGGAAAAGTAAAATAAAAAGTCAAGGCTCCTAATCAAGTACAGTTGTCCGTCCACATTTGCAGATCTGATTATTTGCAGTTTTGATTACTATGTTTTCCCTAGGGAATCTTGAGGTCCTCCAGCACAACTCTGCCAGATGTTGACTATAGAGTTATGCTGGGAAACCTAGAAGTTCCTAGAGAAAACACTTCTGTGATCGTCTGGCAGATGTTAACCACAATTGCACTGGAGGACCTGGAGATTCCCAGAGAGGTGTTCTCTCAGTTAAAAAGAATAGAGTTTTTTTCTTTGTAGTTTTCCACATTCACATAAGTCTTTCACCCCTAACCCCAGCGAATGTGGAGGAACTACTGGGCAGCCGTTTCAGCTTCTCTTCCCAAATGTACTTATCTATTATTAAAATGTTAAAAAATATTTCATGCCTTTTATATACTAATCTCAGCATGGTGACAAAATGATGAAACAATAACACATCAGGTTAAAATAATGTAAACAATAGAATGATTTTTAAAAGGCTAAAGACATATTAAACATTTTAAGTTAAAAGATGTCTGTCAGCCTAAAGTAGTAAGCCAATCTCCCTGCTAGCCTCCATTGTACAGCTGGCCCTCCACATTTGCAGCTTTGACTTTTCCAGATTTGATTATTTGAATTTTTGATTAATACGTTCTCTCTAGGAACTTCTAGGTCCTCCAGCACAACTCTTCCAGAAGTTGACCATAGAGTTGTGCTGGAGAACCTAGAAGTTCCTAGAGAAAACACTTCTCTAGGCATTTGTAGGTCCTCCAGCATGATTCTGTAATCAACATCTGGCAGATGTTAACAGAGCTGTACTGGAGGACTTGGAGATTCTTAGAAAGGTGTTCTGTTAGGTAAAAATAAATGTGTTTTTTTTTTAATTTGTGGTTTTCCACATTCACCTGCACCCCAATGAATGTGAAGGGACTACTATATTTCCCAACAGCTCATCTTGTCCCAAATTCCCTGGGGTTGTCCTGATTTTATTTTTGCTTGATTAAACCAATGTCACTATCATCAACCAAAAATATTCCTCTTGTAACTCTGGAGTTAAAACCATCAACCAGCTGGGAATCTCATTGTTTCTGGGATTCCTGGAAAAATCCACTCAATTGCCTCAAGACACAGTTCACCTCATAAATATACCCACTTGGGCACTCTCACTTTGGTACAGTTTGGAATCAGGCAGAAGATCTGTCTGATTCAGACTTGATCCAAGGCAGAGTGCTAAGCCACATTCAACATACAGCCTTGCCCAGACTGGGGCTTCACCTCTGCAATCAGTAAAGTCTTGCCCTACCCTCCAAATCGCTATCTGCTAACATATCTATCTTATATTTTATATCTTAATTCTTGTATGTGTGTGTGTGTGTGTGTGTGAATGTGTGTTCTTGTGTGAAAGTTGATTTCTTTTACTGTACAAATAAAACTAGTTTTGGACCTTGCACTCTGCAGTTCTGATAGTTTGGAACCGATATATATAGGCTAAAAATCCCAGCATTTTATTATTTATTTATTTATTGTGAAGTTGAAGGCTTTCACGGCTGGCATCCATAGACTTTTGTGGGTTTTTTGGGCTGTGAGGCTGTGTTCTAGAAGAATGCATTCCTGACGTTTCGCCTGCATCTGCGTCAGGAATGCATTCTTCTAGAACACAACCTCACAGCCCAAAAAACCCACAAAAACCTATTTATTCATCTACTTGATTTCTATGCCACCTTTCTCCCAGAAAGGGACCCAAGGGAGCTCACAAATAAAAATTCTAAGAAACATCTTATAATAAAACAATTAAAAACATCAGCTAAAAACAATATAAAATTACAAACATTAAAACCACAATACTCACTCCATATAACAAACACCCCATACAAAAGCCATCCTATGATTACACATTAAAAGCCTGCCTGAATAAAACTGTTTTTGCTTGCTTTAAGTTACAGAAGGCCTCTCGCTGTTTCCTATTGAGCTAAATTTTAATTTCCCCCATTGAATTCAACAAGTGGGCACCCTCTTGGGACCCCCTACAATTTGGGTAACAATAGGATAGATGAGTTAGTAGCTTCCCATCAGTGGCTTTACAGATATCAACCTGCATCTGCATGATTTAGTTCCAACCAAATCAAGTACTGTATCTCCATCTATGTTCCCATTGCAGAGGCGTTAATTCATTATTTCTATTCCTGCTGCAGGGAATTCTTGCCTACTCCAGTGAAGAAAGGCGCAGTTGATATTATATCACTGATCATGGAGATATGCCTCCCTCCCACACTTACTACTTATGTGTTGAAATTCTCTGTATACTGTGTGGACAGAAGAGGGAGTCCTTTTCCCAGTTGACTTCACATCTTTCAGATAAATATACCTATTTCCCAAAAGTTTCTTTAAGAATGAGTGTTTAAAAAAAAAAAGGTAATTTTTGTCAGCATTAACTGGAAAAACAAAAGGAAGCGAGACGCAGATATGCAAAATTTCCCTGTTATTTCTTACAGGGATTGGCCATGAATAGAGGGATCTTGTAGCACCTTTGAGACCAATTGAGGCTGCACCTGCACTGCAGGAATAAAGCAGTTTGACACCACTTTCACTGCCATACATGGCTCATTGCTATGGAAACCTGGGATTTGTAGTTTTGTGAGATATTAAGCCTTCCCTGTCGGAGAGCTCTGGTTCCCCGCCAAACTACAATTCCTAGAATTCCACAGCATTGAGCCATGGCAGTAAAAGTGGTATTAAACTACTTTATTTCTGCAGTGCAGGCAAGGCCTGAAAGAGAGAAGTTGATAGCATGAGTTTTCGTAGACTCTTAATACCATACTAACACTGTTATACAGCTATTATTCTTTTACTTCTACAGCTGCCTCTTGTGGAACCCTGGGATTTGCAGTATAGGGAAAGGCATTTAGAATTCTCAGCCAGGGAGCTCTTAGGCCTCACTAAACTATAAACCCCAGAATGCCACAGGAGGCAGCCGTAGCAGTAAAAGTGGAATAATAGCACTATAACAGTGTAGTGTGGTATATTTTTCTGATTCTGATGAAGGAGGCTCAAGTCTACAAAAGCTCATGCGACCAATTTCCCCCTTT